GTTTCATGCGATGAGGAGGAACTGCGGGCGACAGACGGGGCCGCCGAGCGCCGTGCTCCCTGTCAGGGCAGCGGCCCGGCCTGCCTCGTGCCCACCCCCAGCCACGTGCTCTCATGAGGATGGAGCTGGAGTGAGGGAACCACAGTAACGTCTCCGTTCGTTGCTCCGGTGCAAAAATGATCCCTTCTCCAAGCAAACTGCCACTTCGTTTTTCAAGTCTGTTAACAAGGCAAATAATAATAATAATAATCTATTTGATCTTAATCGCATGTTTCATTCTGGACTGACCAGTTCTGAGACTTTTGCCCTTCGTTTCGGAGAGAGGAGGATTGCTCCGAAACTGGTAAAACATCGGGAGAGGCGACGTTTTAACACTCGGACTGATGATGAAGCTCCTCGCAGCGCAGAGCGCCTGGCTCAGTTACCGGCTCAGGTCGCATCTGCACTCGGTGAGCATGGTAACTCTTCCACACTTCGCACGCTCGCTGATGATTATTTATGCAATCACTTCCGATAATTGCAAAACCTGGGCTGATTACCCTGCTCAGTGGCTGCACAGGTGCGTAGTGCCTGATCTGATGTGATGGGGCGTGAGAGAGCACAGTCTCCGGTGAGGACACACAGTGGCGCTGTGAGGCCCGGGACCCAGAGACTGGGATGGATCCTGACGGGATGTGACAGCGCCCAAACTCCAGGCTCCCTCCACAAAACAGGATTTCAGAGACAGGATCTTTTTTTTGGGGGGGAGGGGCATTTTTTCTCTTTTTTTAGACTGTTATTGTACAACGTGCAAAAAGAAAACAGCAGTGCCCCAGGTCAGTGCGATAAAGCCTTTCTTTCCACGCGGAGAGATCAGCGATTCAATGGGAAGTGGTTTTCCTGACGAGGGCTCTAACCTGGAAACTGCTTACAGGCTTAGTCACAGCCCCCAGAAAATCGGATTTGCTGGCGGAAAATGGGAAGGTGGCAGGAAAGGAAATGGGTGAACCGGATTCCCTGTTCTAAAGGAAGAAGTGTCCTGCCTCGCCTGCCTGCTGGAGCTGCGCCCCTGTTTTTTTTTGTTGTTGTTGTTT